ACAGGACCCAGCAAGGTCCTGCACTTGCTATTTCCTCTGCCTGAAACACTCATCCCATAGATCTGCTTGTGGCTGTCTCCCTCAGCCCTTCACTAAGTGCAAACATCACCTTTTCAAAGAGGCTTACCATAACTACCCTACTTAAATTAGTAACTGCACAACTTTCCCATCCTGCTGCTGCCCACACTTCCCATTCTCCATACCTTGCTTTATTATTCTTCATAACACCTATCACCTTCTGGCACACTTATTTGTTCATCATCTGTCTCTGACCAATAAAAATCTCCATGAAAGTAGAAACATTGTCTGTTTTATTCACTATTTTATTCCCAATGCCTAGAACACCACCTAGAACCTAGTGGGACACTCAGTAAATATTAGTTGAATTAGTGAATAAACGAATGAGTATCTGTTGCAAATCCATGCATATCATGTACTCATAAGAGATGTGATGTCTTATTATATGACACTGATAATATATGAAGAGTGCACGTAGATGCTAGTGTGAGTACACCTTTGGGCTGGTGACACAGCTTACAACAGCAGAAACATTTATAACCATTGACTTGATGTGATACATTAATTATATAACTGCAGAGAGGGAATGAGTTGGCACATTTCTGGTACAACACTTGAACTTCAGCTAGGTGAAAATATTTCCAGAATTCTACCATATCATACTCTTCTTCTTTAATTAGTGAGGCAATGGCTTTGGCAACTGCAAGCTGATGTCAGGCACATCTTGCTAAACCAGAGTAGATCATTCCTATTAGTAGTTCCAATCCCATGTGGCCCAATTATTTTCTCCAAATTTAAGCTTCACTGCTAACAAAAGTGCTCAAATCCCATGTGACAATTAGTTAAACAGATGGTGGCAAATTTTCAATGAATCTGTCTAATCCTGCACTGAGCCTCTCTTTTCCTTTCCCCTTATTTTTCAGCAGATGTTTATACACTAATGAGAGCATACATTTATTTACCCAGATGCTCAGGCCAGAAGCTCGGGTATCATCCTTGACTCCTCCTTCTTCACCCTCAAAATCTAAGCTTGCAACATGCTAAGTCAGCTCTATCTTAAAACTGCTCTCTTCATTCTCACTGACATTAAATTAGCTGAAGCCACCATCAAGTCTTGTGTAGACTAATGCATTTCCTCATCACAGATTTTCCTGCCTCTGGTCTTACAAAATGGTTTTACAAAAAGTGCAAATCTATATTGGTTTCTCTTGATCTTCAGAATAAAGCAAAATTCTTCAGCATGATATGAAAGGTCTTTTATGAATAGGCATCTGCCTCATTCATTCCCAGCTACTCCCCATCCCTTTGAGCTCCAGTCATTCTGAGTTACCTGGGAAGTTATGCTCTTTCTTGTCTGGCTGTTGTACATGCTAGTCCCTACAGTTGGTAAAACGTCTTTCCCATTTCAATGGGGTTTATTCTTCCTTCTTGTTTTGGTTGGAAGACTATCATATCCAGAGTTTTTCTTGATCCCCTGAGACTGAATTAAGTACTTTTCACTCGTGCCCATTTTTTATGCTGTGGTTACCCCCATCATGGTTATCACACGATGCTGACAACTGCTTACTTATTTTGCTTTTTACCCAGTAGTCTACAGGTATGTCTTCTGTGCTTAACACAGTGCCTGGCACATAGTAAGTGTTCAGCATTATCTGTTGAATGAGTAAGTCTTCGGTTGCAATGAAAGTGTATTTATATGGATGGAGATGGTACAGGATAGGATATGTCTTCATATTACATCTCACTAGAAGTCACTTTTGGAAGTTCGCAGATCCCTCCAGACAATCAAGGAACTTTAAAGTATATACATCTCACTAGAAGTCACTTTTGGAAGTTCGCAGATCCCTCCAGACAATCAAGGAACTTTAGAGTATATCACTGTGTGATTTTATTTTTTTTTTTATTTATTTATTTTTTTTTGTCTTTTTCCATGTCCGGCAACGGTTCGCAACCCTCAGTGTCACCCCCGTACCGGACCAGGACCGGCAACGGGATCGCAACCCTCGGCGTTGCCCCCACGCCTCGCTCAGCCAGTGAGCGGGAACCGGTCTGTATGTGGGATCCGAACCCTCGGAGGGAGCGCCGCCGCGCTTCCCAAGCGGCGCACTAGCGCAGTGCGCCACCGGGCCAGCCCCACTGTGTGATTTTAAAGTGTTTATTTCAAAGAAGTGTGTGTCCTTTACATGTTGATCAATAATTCAATTCCATCATAGGAGAGAGTGTGTGTGTTCATATGAATATGAAACAAAGTTTATTTAAGGTATAGTTTGTTACTTTCAGGTGTGAGGCAAACATAATTTTTAACCTCGTTAAATGCAGTTAAGTAGTGTGAGGAAATCATTGATTGAGATTGCACCTTTACTTAGCCTCTTCCACCTGAAAAGTGCTAATTGTTAGATGTGTGACAGCACCAGAAAATGAAGAACAAATTAATAAACATTACACACATTTAGTACTATGAAATTTTGAAATGACTTCCTTTAGTGTTAAGTGTGTGACTTGAAACTGTAAAAATTTTAATTTATATTTTTTAACTGAAGAGTAAATATTTGATCATAGTAATATACCAGTTTTTTCTGTAGCCATTTACATTCTTGTGTCGTATTTTTCTAGTTCTTGAAGAAAAGTGAATTTGTTTCTATCTACACCTTCAATGATAACCATGATATAAGTTCCAGTTAATTAAATATAAGATAAAACAACTGAAAATAGAATTAAATATCCAAGTTACTGAGATGATTCTGGAGCAATGCAAGAAAATACAAGGGTAAACTGATAAATATAACTGCATAAAATTTTGAACACATACATATAAATAATTAGAAAATCAAATAAAATAGGGCCGAGCCTGTGGCGCGCTCGGGAGAGTGCAGTGCTGGGAGCGCAGCAGAGCTCCCGCCGAGGGTTCGGATCCTATATAGGGATGACCGGTGTGCTCACTGGCTGAGCGCGGTGCGGCCGGTCTCAAAAAGGACAAAAAATAAATAAAAACAGATTGTTTAAAAAAAAAAAAAAAAAGAAAATCAAATAAAATAAAATAAGGAAAATCTAAGAATGGAAAATATATACAACTAAGGGCACCCAGATGGGAAAACAAATGAAAAGACATTTATATAGTAAAAATATAAAAATAAATATTAACAAATCACAGTATTAATAATGAATAACATAGAAGGCATTTGGTTGTGCCACACACTGTTCTAAGCACTTTCCAGATATTAGCACGTTTAGTCCTATAAGATATGAGATATTTATTATCCTCATTTAAAGATAAGGAAACTGAGGAACAGAGAGACTAAATGACTTGCCCAATGTTAAATAGCTAGAAAATGACAAAGTATAGCTTGAAACTAGGGAGGGATCCTTTTCACATTTAATCATGTATATAAAATAAGTCAAATCAAACTATACTAATGTCAAGATGCAATAGACGAGGAGACTTATGAATAACCAGGTAAATAGTGATTTGTTATAACTCTCTTAGGGAATAATGTGATAGTAAAACAAAATTATTTTATCCTACCCTTTGATTCATAATGATATTCCTTATCGTTTACGTCAAAGAAATAATTTAAAAATTTTTTAGAAATTGTGCAAAGATATTACAATATGTGTGAATGGTGGGGAGCTGAGTACAGCAGGGGAGGGTAGTTGCAATAAATCCTGGAAAACAATGTATCTTAAACAATTGAGGAACTGTTAAATAGATTGGAGTTGTTAATGCAATGGAATTTATGTTGCCATAAAAATGATGGATTTCAAAAATATAAAGCAATGCTAAAAAGTTTTTATGAAATCACATTAAGTGAAGGACAAAATGTGATTTTTTAAATACACTTTTATTGCAACCATGTTAAAGATACATAAACCTACAAATAAATATTGGAAGTAAACAGGAAGACAGTAGTTATTCCACAGTGTAGGTAAAGCTATAAGCTATTTTTTGAAAGTTTTCTTTTTAATATTTTATATTTATTTTAAAAATGAATTGACTCTTTGACAGATTTAGAACAAAAAAGAAAATTAAAACTATGGTTTCATTTTTAATTGGCCAAATTATCAAACCCATGACCTTGTACCCTTTCTGCACTAGATTACAAAGCCTAATGGGATAAATAAAGAATAGTTGGGTTTTTTTGACGTTTTATAGGATTCATCTACTTCATCTAACCTTTTAGCTATAGTAATTCCAAGTGCTGCCATGCTTTTTTGTGTCAAAAAAAAATACTAGTTTTTAATTGATTTTGCAAAACTATAGATAAAAGTAAATAGGAGGCATAATACTTTAGCATTATACAAATATATTTTTCATCTAATTAATTATTCCTCTAGGTCTATAAATTTAATAGATGCTTATTCATTACAAATTAACATGTATTTATTTAAAAGAATGGGTTTGCTTTCTTCATTCAGTGAGTGTCTACAAGGTACAAAGCTCTGTGGCAGCCACCAAACAATGGCCATTTCCACATGACTTTTTTATTAATCAATTTAAAACATAATTAATTATTTAATTTCAACTGTGGGAAGTGATAAGAAGAAGCAGGATGAGAGCTTATCAAAGGGCTCACCCAGTTTAGGGATCAAAAAAGATATCCTTAAGGTAGTGACTTTGATCTGAGTCCTGAAAGAAGACTAATAATTCACCGTGTGAGGGGTCGTGGTTGAGTACACAAGAGCATTTCCAGATGAGGGAGTAAGACCTGCAAAGGCTCTGTAAAAAGGAAAAGTGGCCAGTGTGGTTAAAGTCCGCAGAGAAAAAGAGAGTGCCCAGAGAAGTAAGGTACCTGTAACCAGAAGATGGAGGCCTTGGTAGGCCTAATTAGGTGGTTGGTCTTCATGTTAATAAAAATAGAGGCTTTTGAAAGAAAATGAGCAAATTTGCATATTTAAAAGATTATTCTGAATCCAGTGCAGAAGAATTGTCTCGGAGGACATGAGTGGTAGCTAGGAGTTTCTTAAATAGCCTGTGAAGGGTCAGTCTGGCTGCTGAGACAAACGCTTCACTGGGGAAGTCTCTGCGTATCATGGGGAGATAGATGCTGCTGACTTTGATTGACCTTGGTCATCACAGCTCCAAAAAAACAGGATCTCGATAAGCTCTTCGAGCTGAAGTCCAAAGCTCGGCAGATTTTGAACCAGTTTGGCCCCTCACCCCTAATCTGACTCTCCAATTTCTCATCCATAAAATCTGAATCAGTCAGTACCCTTCCACAAGGCTCCATGACCAATAGCACTACAGGGTAAAGATATCTGGCACTCCTGGGACAGGAGGTCATCTTAACCCTAAAAACAATCAGGTATTGACCAAGAAGAAATTACAGGAATTAATAAGAGAAGCAGATCCTTATGAGCAGTTGGATGAGGATGTGGAGGGGATGCTGCTGCAGATGGCTGATGATTTTATCAAGAGTGTGGTGACAGCAGCCTGCAGCTTGCTCAGCATTGCAAGTCCAGCACCCTGGAGGTGAAAGATGTCCAGCTGCATCTAGAGCACCACTGGAATATGTGGATCCCAGGTTTGGGCTCTGAAGAAATCCGAACCTACAAAAAGCTTGCACCACAGAAGCTCACAAACAGAGAAGAGCATTGATCTGGAAGACAACCAAGAAATAATACATGGAAAAGGCAGGGGATGGACAACAATTTATTTGGAGATACTTGAGCTCATCCCTCAGCCATCTCATCCTTGGAGTTTTATTTTTTAAATGCTTTACAGAGAAGCATATATTTCTTATTAACAATGCAGCAATATCTATAATGACTGAGGATGTGCCAAAAGAATAAAGCCTCCTACCCAAACTTCTTGTCCCTTGTCCCTGCCATCTCAAAGAGGAACAGTGTATCTTCCAGAGAAGATTTCATTTGTGGTTTATTATATAAGTGATTGAATATGGGACAAAGCATTATGGTCTTCTTGGGTGAGACAGTATTAGCAGGATTTGTAGGGGGTTTCATTTCCTTCTTCCTTCCCCTCTTCCCTGTACTTTGTAATGTCAGTGTTTACATGAACATGACTTTCATTTGCTTTTCCAGAATAAAAAAGTTATTAATTGAAAGACAAATAAATAAATAAATAAAATAGCCTAAGAAGGATGCAGATGGGTAGAGGAAACCCCTTCTACAATTGAAGTGAAGAAGAAATGTGCAAGACTTCTATAAGGAAAACTTTAAAACATCCCCAAGAGACACAAAAATAGACTTGAATAAGTGAAAAGACACCCCCTGTTCTTATACTAGACTAAACATTATAAAGATGTCAGTTTTCCTCATGTTAATTTATAAATTTAACTCAATTATAATCAAAACATTAGCAGGCTTTTTTTTTAATGGAGTAAGAATACCTAATAATAAAGTTCATATGGAAAAACAAACATGCAAGAAGAGGCAGGAAAACAATGAAAAAGGAAAACCTGTAAGAGGATATTACCCCTTTCAGATAAAAAAGTGTACTTCAAAGTATCTATAATTAAAATAGTGTGGTACTGGCACACAAATAGACAATGAGACCAGTGGAATTGAGTTGAAAGCCTGGAAATGGACCTAAGTACACATGGAAGTTTATTATACAATCAAGGTAGCATCTTTGGGGCATCACTGGACAATGGCAGACTTTTTAATTAATGATTGTGAAACAACTGGGTAAATATTTGAAAAAAAAAATAAAAGTTGTTGTATACCTAACATCATACATCAGAATAAACTCGAAATGTATCAGGAATCTAAATGTAAAAAAATGAAAACATAAAAGAACTAGAACTAGAACTTTAACATCATTATAGTAAAATACTTTGTATATCCAAAACTCCAAAGAAAAAAAAGAAAACATTCATTAATTTAACCACATAAAATTAACAAAACAAAACAAAACAAAAATACCATAAATAAAATCATAGACAATTAGCAATTTGGGAGGAAATATTTGAAGCGTGTAACAGAAAGGGCTAATATTCCTAGTATAAAAAGAAATCTTAAAATGAAGGAAAAAGGATCAAAAACCCAATTGTAAAACAAGAAAAAGACCTGAGCAGACATTCTCAATGGAGAGAGAGAGAGAGAGAGAGAGAGAGAGGGAGATAGAGAGGATGTCTGTTTTATTTAAAGAGAAAAATAACCCATATGTATATCCACCTCCAAAAAGTTCAAACACAATTAGCACAATTAGAAAAATACAAATTAGGGCCGGCCCGGTGGCGCACTGGATAG